GAATTCGCGAGAGATAGGTCGGACGAACCATTCCGGTAAAGTATAAACACATTGGGATCTATATTAAGATCCCACCACGTCGCGAAAATTAGAACCCGAGGATTATTTCAAAACCTCAGCTTTGACCTTGTGGTGGGGTTGCCTTGCTGCATGCCCATCCGGGAGGAACAACACGAAGCCGGGGTTTCCAAAACGAGAAACTACATTTATTAAAGTAACAGGAATGGATTGTTAGTATCAACGTAAAACATTGCCGGAGCGTTCGAACTGCACGCCTCCGTGGCCACGGTCCGTCCACCCTCTCTGTGGGCGTGTGCCTTCTTTTATAGGCTTTTGTGCTTTTCTATACGTGCGCTATTGCGCGCCTCGGCCGTTGTCCAGTTTGGGCATTCGGCAGCGGCCTCTGGCCGTGGTGGGAGACTTGCTCCCACACTTCCCCCCCCCCCCTTAAGCGTCTGGCATGTCGATGCCAGTGTTGTCGTGGTCGTCCTTGGGAGGGGTCGTCGTCGAGGGTGTGGACGGCGGCGCTGTATCGGCGTTAGGGCGCGCTCCAGGTCGCGCTTGTCCTTTGGTGGCCGTTTCCGGAATCGCCGGCGGCTGCAGCTTTCGGTGCCTTCTTGCCCACTGGCCGCAGTTCCACGGGGTGGGCCTCGCTGGTTGCTGCCGTGACTGGTACCGCCACGTGTCCTGGGACCCTGGCGAGCAGATGACCGGGATTGGTAGTGGCGTCGCCCATGATCCACCTTCGTGAATCAGAGCGAGCAATTGCCATGGGTTACTCTCATGTTAACCCCTGGCTCTATGAGGCATAAAAAAAAGGATAAAGGATCTGGGGTGGGCACAATCGCGCAATATTTCCCCCTCTCCCCCCTCAGAAAGGCGATCAGACCCGTGGGATGATATACGATCGAGGTACAACGCTCGAAACCCAAAAAAAGAAGGAAAAAAAAAAGAATAATCTTGTCCACCGCTTTACAACTTCTCTCAGCCGTCACCGACGTCGCAGGTTGTACCGCCTGTGTGGCGGCGAGGGGGGGTCCGGGGACGGGCCGTCGTCGGCATCGGTCTGATCCTGCGAAAAACCATCTTCCGGGATGTGGAATTGTTTAAGGTCGGTGACATGAGTTGGTCCAGTGGACTCACCACTGAAATGGTGAATTAGCGTGTATGTAAGCGGGGAAAGCTTTTTGCCTACACGAAATGGACCATCCCACCTGTTGGCCAGTGAGGCTGTGAAGCCTTTCGCCGCGTCACTCAGGGGGTGAGTGCGCCTGAGCACCAAGTCTCCCACCTCAAACTGCAGGTCTCGGCGTCCCTGGTTGTACTGGTCGGATTGTTGCAGTCTGGCAACGTCAAGGTTCTCCCGGGCTTCCTTGAGGTTAATGGTGAAACGCTTTCGCAGGTCGTCTGCGAACTTTGTGTAGTTGCGGTCCTGTGCCCTGGGCTCTGTCGAACGGAGAGTGTTAGTGAGAGGGAAAGCAAGCTCTCTGCCAAAATTGAGCTGGGCAGGGGTGAGCCCGGTTGACCGGTTAACCGTGGTGCGAGTGGCGAAGGCCATTTCTGGGAGCTTCGCATCCCAGTCTTTGTGGCGCTCCGTATGAGCAACAAGCATCATCTTAAGGTTTCGATTCACCCTTTCGGTTATATTTGCCTGGGGATGATACGGCGAAGTCCGTTTATGTTCAATTCCCAGAACCGCGCACGCCTCGACGAACACTTTGCTCGTAAAATACGACGCATTATCCGAAATTAGGCTTGCCGGGAAACCAAAACGAGCGAAAACTTGAAGTAGGCAGTCCCATATTTTCTGCGAATCCAACTTTCGTAAAGGGAACAGCTCCACCCATTTGGTGAAATGGTCTGCTACTACGAACAAGTACTGGTTTCCGCGTGGACTACGTGGAAATGGACCCATGACGTCACAGCAACAGATCTGCCAAGGGCTCTGGCTTGCGATCGGTTGCATGAGACCAGGGGGTTGACCACCACGTGGCTTCGCTTTCTGGCATGACGGGCAACTACGCGCATACCTCAGTACATCTTGCCGCATGCCGGGCCACGTCGCAATCTGGGACAACTTATCGTAAGTCTTGCTCCCACTGCTGTGTCCGGCTAGGGCAGAGCTGTGCATGTATCGGATGAAAAGCTTACGTAGCTTGCGGGGTATCACGGTCCGGAATGCTGAACCGTCCGGATCGTCGTCGGCCTGGGGGATGTAGCGCAGCAGGAGGCCGTCCTCGCTCATCAAGTAGGAGTCGAACTCCGTGTCACTTGGGCGGTCCACTGGACCGGACGCTGCCAGTTAGGCAGTCACTTGTTGGCACAACCCATCGTCGTGCTGGGCCTTGAGAAGATCCTCTCTTGAGACCAATGTACCCCACCGTGAGTCAGGTGGTCCCTGTGTTGTATTAACGACTGCGACCAGCCCTGGGGATTCCTGCACGTGGTTCTCAGGAAGGGGGGCGCGGGAAAGTGCATCAGCGATTTGGTTTGTAGCACCCGGCCTGTATACAATAGTGTAATCGTATTGTTGCAGCGTAAGTGCCCAACGAGCGAGGCGACCAGCGGGGTTCTGAAGTCTTTTCAGCCATGACAACGCTAAATGATCACATTGAATTTGGAATGTTGCGCCATCCAAATACATGTCAAATCGCTTTAACGCATACACTATGGCTAAGCATTCCCTTTCTGCAACGCTGTAGTTACGCTGTGCGGAATTGAGGGTCTGACTTGCGAAAGCAACCGGGCGAAGTATGCCATGATGTTCCTGCAGTAAAACAGCTCCGACGCCACAATCGCTTGCATCTGTCTGCAAAACGAATGGTTGGTTTAGGTCGGGAAGATGCAGACACGCGTTCTCTGTCACTGCCTTTGATAGCGCTGCGAATGCGCTTTGTTGTTGTTCGCTCCAACACCATTTGACGCCTTTTCGAAGGAGGTGATTAAGCGGCTGAGAAATCTCGGAGCAGTAAGGAATGAAATCCCTATAGAATGCAATCATTCCGAGATATCGCTGTAAACTTTTCACGTCATGGGGGCGCGGGTACTCAGTTAGTGCGCGCAGTTTTTCTTCGTCGGGACGGAGCGTGCCGCTATCGACAACAAATCCGAGGAGGTTAATTTTGGGCTCGGCCAGTTGAACTTTCCTCGGATTGATTGTTAGGCCCGCGTTCCGCATCCGCTCAAGCACGATAGTCAAGTGTTCAAGATGCTCCTCGAATGTACGCGAGAAAACAACAACGTCATCCATGTATGCCATCGCGAATTCGTACTTTGCGTTTCCGAGCACAACGTCCATCAGACGTTGAAAGCTCGCTGGCGAGTTGGACAAGCCAAAAGGCAAGCGGGTGAACTCGTACAGCCCTCTGTGGCAAATGAAAGCGGTTTTCTGCACGTCTAACGGATGCACCTCGATCTGAAGGAATCCGCGGCTGCAATCCAATGTGGTGAACACCGTCGCGTTGCCGAGCGCGTACATTATAGAGGAAATGCTGGGAAAAGGGTAGCTGTCCCGTACAGACACTTCGTTCAGCCGTCTGTAATCTACGCAGAGTCTGGCAGTTCCATCTTTTTTCGGAGCGAGGACGACAGGAAATGCCCAAGGGCTCTTTGACTCACGTACTGCGCCGGTGTCCAGCATCTCCTGAAGGGCCACGTCCAGGAGCTCTCTTTTGTGCACGCTGATGGGGCGTGGATTGCACCTTCGAGGCGGTGCGTTACCGGTTTCAATCCGATGCAGCAAGATGTCTGTCTTTCCTGGTCGCTCCGTGAACATCGGAGAGAACGGCCGCAGGACGTCCTCCAGCTGTCCCTTCTGGAGGTCAGTGCCCGGACACTTCTGGAGGGTATCCGAGATTTCGGATGGTAGGGCAGCTGCAGGCGTTGTGAAGTGGGCTGGGAGGGTTGGGCCAGCGATGCAGTTCTCTCGTCTGGTGAACGGAGTCAGGTCCGCCTGGTTTCCCAGACGATAGCCGCCACCAGGGAAGTCGAGCGTCATGCTTACGCCTGCGATAAAATCTCGACCCAAGATCACGGGTACGGCGAGCCCCGGAAGATACAGAAAGCGCTGACGCCGTCTCTTCTCATTGAATGAAATTTTAAGCCTTACGGCTCCGTCCGCCGATATTGTTGACCCGGAGGCTAACTGCAGACGTGTGTCTGCCAAACGAAAGGTTATTTTTTTATTTTTGCATAGTTCATAGGCAGCGTCCCCTATAAGCGAGATAGCAGCCCCGGTATCCAAAAGCGCGGCAAAAGGAAAACCGAGCAAAGTGATCGTCATGCGTGGCTCGATCATTTCGCTGTTAGGCTGAATTCGACATACCGATGGAACAAGTGACGCTGCGTGCGTGGTCCCGGCTGTGATAGCGGCCATCGGCGGCTCTGCAGTGGGGCTCATTGCCGCCGGCCGTAATAGTTTCCCGATTGGGATCCCACGTGACCTTCCGGATTTTCACGGCCCATAGGCGCGCGAGGGTTGACCGGATTTCCACAATCCCTCCGCTCACTTCCAGCCCTTCCTCCATTTGTTTCGTTCTGCCTCGGGTTTGTATTTGGGCACTCTCTTTGGAAGTGGCCGCGCTGTCCACAGTTGTGGCATTGGTCCGAATACCTGCTTGAGTCGCCGGCACCAGGGCGCTCTTCGGACGTCCTCCAGTGGCCCCGCATTGAACCAAAACTGGAGCGCCTCCGGCTGCTTTGATTGGGCACTCTGTGCCAGTCCCGTGGAGGTCTTAGCGCCGGGATTGCCTCGGGGCCCTGCCTAGCACATGCGGGTTCGAGAGAGTTTGCGGCCAAAGGCGGTGGGAGATAGCTCTTCTGAGCGAGGAAGATCTCCTCTGTGCTGCGGGCATGCCGGGCTAGCTCTTCAATGGTCTCAAAGGTGCGGCCGTGTAGGTACACGTGGTACTTTGGGTGACATTGTCTGAGGACCCGAGCTATAATCTCCGACTCGAAGGCATTAGGTTGTGCCCTTCGTGTGAGTTCCTGCAATGCGCGAACATACTGAACCAGGCTTTCGTTCGGATGTTGCGTTCGGGACTCGAGTTCTTTCAAGATTTGTAACTCGTAACCAGGTGGCAGGAACTCTGCTCGGAATTGCCGCTCGAACTCCGCTAGGCTGGTGAACGTAGGTTGCAGCCTTAACCAGCACGCAGCACTAGACTTTAGAGCGAGTGGGAGTATTCTGCTTATCACGAGGGATTCCGAGGCGCCTGAGGCGGCTTTGTAGACGTCGAGCTCACCCAGAAAGTCGGCGACTGACTTGACGTCGTTGTAGCCAGTGTACACCGGCACCGTCAGCTGGGGACGCAGCTCCGGCTCACCTGACTGCTGCACGGCGAGACGCTGTGTAACCGCATCACACATAGCTGCCACCTTCAGTAGCAATTCGGCCTGCGCATCCGCCGTGCCTGCTCCGGGATCCACGCTTGCTCCAGGCTTTTCGCCATCCTTCGTCTCGGACCGTAGTGTGGGAGACATGGCGGGAAAAAAACAGAAACGCCAAGCAGACAAGAAAACGTGTGCGGCAACCAACGAGGTAGAGGGGCTTAGAGCGATAAACCGGGGTTCCGGTCTGCACTCGAAAGTGACCCCCATAAGGAGGCTGCCATTGTACGCAAATTTGACCACACGTCACATGACCAAACCAAATACGTGACGTCACAGGAAAGATGGCAGCGCCCATGCAGCGGCTGGCCCCAGCTGGGCCGGAGCTTGTCGGATACTTTGTTGGTTGTCGTTCGTCTCGGCGAGTTGATTTCAGACGCGGAAGCCGTCATATGAGGCCGGTCGAAAGCGAGTTCAGAGTTCAACGTGGTGTTTGACGTAGGTATAACGTGAAAATACGGAGGAACGGTGTGCATTTCGCTGGTGACCGACCGGGATACTGCCACGGAAGAGACAATCTGACCTACGTTGCTCGGACCTCGGATTGATTCGGATACCGCTAGGATAAAATTTAAGGCGACGTTTCTGTGCTCTCGTAGACCATCGGAATCTTCGAGGTTTTCAGTGAAGCGTGTGCAATATATTTGGATACACAGTTTAGCGACGGAAATTGCGTGAGTAGTGCTTGGCGGTGTGCAATCGTGGTGCAGCTTCGATCAAATGACCGAGGGCTTACTTCGGTTGTGCGGCGCACCGGAAGGCTGCCTTGAAGCTGGTAGTTCCCGTGCCGTGCTGAATGATGCTGTGCTGCTTACAAATTGTTCCGGCGTAGAAGTGCACTTTCACGGAGCACAGGTGTGCGGCGCACCGAAGAGCTGCCTTCAAGCTGGTAGTTCCTGTGCCATGCTTTAGGTGATGCTGTGCTGCTTCCGAAATTGTTCCGGCGTAGACGTGCACTTTCACGGAGCACAGGTGTTGCAGTTGGTATTGATCCCGCTGGTCTGTAGCACGTTTCGTCAACACAAACGTTTCATCCACACTCGTTACGCGAATTGCAAGCTGTCCGGACATTGCATCGAGCGTGTTACGTACCCAGCTCACGCCGCTTTGTGGCAACAGTCGGCAGTGGCTCATTACCAGAAAAGTGGTCCCACATCCATTTCAGTTCAGTTCGTCCACAGCAGTCGCCAAACCCCGAAGGGGAGGATTTATTCGGACAGAATGCCACTAAAGCAATGCAGCTTCTTCAGTGGTCAGGATAGATTCTCTTCTGCGAGTTTTGTTATACTGTCACGGATCCTTGTTCCAGTCCTAGCTTCTATCAATATTCACTATTCTGGGACACTTCAGGTCATGCTCAGCAGTAATCGTATGTTCTGGTGGAGGTGCTGGGCACCCATAGCCCTTCACTCTGTGTGAACCCGGCGGCTCTTCAGCCGAGTTACTCGATAATGGGACACGGCTGGCGGACTATCCTGCGTCTTACACCCCCGTCGAGCCGTGAGCAAAGTCCTGACCCGATCCTGGCAGAACAACCGCAAGACGACCGAATACCACAAAAAGTAACCTCGGAAATACACCACGAAGCACCTGAAATCCGAGCCAGTTGCTGCTACCAGGAAAAACCACCGGAATTCGGTCTCCTGTCAGAAAATCCGAAGCTGACTAAGCCAACAATGACAAACCTGTAGCAGCAAACCGTGTCCCCTCCCACCATTTTTGCATGCCCGTCGCAAATCACACTCCGACGCTTTTTCACGCAAGCTGTATGAAGACGTCAAGGACTGGATTGAACAATATGACAGTGTCGCCCGCCACATTGGGTGGACAGACAACCAGCTCCTGCAGAACCTATACTTCTCGTGGAAGAAACTGCCGGCGCTGGTCTGAGAACCATGGATCCTCCTTAACGTCATGGGAAGTTTGCAAGATCGAGCTGAAGCGCGCATTTGTCAGCCAACATCAACGAGAGAGAGCCGCATTCTTGATTCTGTCCAGGACACTGCCCCAACGAGAGCGCCACCGCACTCGTGGAGGATGTTTTGCGCTTGATCGAGCGCCCACGCCCACGCCGACCTTGATGCTACAGAAGACAAGAACCTAAGAATCCCATGCCCCTCACGGGAGGGACAACACTTTCGGCAGCCTTGTCCGCAACCCCCAACAACAGTCGAAGAGTTCATATCACCGAGGCTTCCAACATGGAATGTGCACTGCATGCCCGAGCCTGCCACTATGAACAACTTCCCGGCGTCTCGACACTCGAGTTGTCCAGCTACTACTTCGACGCCAGCCTCCCAGGCATCCACGACATCATCCACGACGTTGTCTGGGAGGAGATCAGGAAGCTACTTCCTGCCATCAGTTGCCTGGCTTTTATTTTGATTGCCGAGATTGTTTCGGAACAAGTTTGACAGGTATTTCAACCGAGACTTCTGCGAGCGAAGCGGCATCTGACAAACCAAGGGCAACTTACGCCACAATGGCACGACGACCGCCACCGGCTGCCTCTTAGTATTCAATGCCAATTCAATGAGACACTCTAATGCCGAAGCATTCCCGACATCGTGTGTAGGTTTGTGCTCAACAAAGTACACCGAGGAAAACGTAGGTGATGCGAATGTGTGACCGAAAACCGCTTTGCTTCCACTGCATGAAGCCGACCATGTCTACCAAAGCAGCCCGTACCAATGAATTGGTCTGCGATGGTTCGTGCCAAACGACCCTCGATTACGTCTCGAGGAGCGACCACGGGAGATTAAGGATTACCTTCGGCGACCTTTGTCCCTGATGCCGAAGGTGCTGAATCGAAGATTCTGAATCCCTGATTACCCCGAAGCTCCTCATGTCCATCACCTCAACAAGAGGTAAGCACGACAAAGCAGGTGAGCGGCGATGCAGTGACAGTGGATTTGGTGTTGGTTGTCGTCCAAGGACAATACCTAAAAATTTGCTGACATCAATTTTCTGTGTCCACTCCACGAAGCACACAATTTCCAACTTTGAGGGAGAATGCCCCTGAGTGACTTGAAGGAATAGAATGGTTGGTTGCTCTCAAAAGTGAACTGCAAGCATCACCAGACTTGGATAGCAAACAAAAATTGTTGCCAGTCAACGGTACAGCAAAAGGCACAGCCACGTAAGCAATACATGCCCGAGCTTGCTGCATTGATGCCGAAAACTACCAGGAAAATTTTCGGATTAGAAGCCAGCCCTGCAGCTTCAGTGCATCAGACGTCGGTGGCCGCACATGACGTATGATTACAAGACAGCATCAGTCGGTCAAAGTTGCCACTCGACCAAACTGAACACTGACGTGCCAGGAGCGTCATCCGACAACAAGGTCCACAGGTACTACGACTGAACGCCTGACACGAGACTGTCGCAGAAAGAACTCGTTATGGAACCATTTCCTAAGAATCAATAATTATGTAATCAAGTGGAAATAAACATATTTGATACACTAACCAGATAAACATATTTCCGCTTGCCTTCATGCCTTGAGAGTCTACACACCGAGAATTGTGTCCACTGCACGCTCTGGACCTTACGAGGACACTCGCATCTCTGACCCTTCAATATTAATTAAGGGGTCATACCAGACTGGCAGACTTCTTGCAAGGGGCTGCACTCGTTCAACCTTTCCTGAACATGTGGTGCATCCGAAAACCAACTCCAGAGATGTAAAAATTTTATTTATTAATTTATTCCTTCCAGGGGCCTTCTTAGGCATTGCAGAGAGGATACTTAAAACTACACACATGATAATAGCATTAAAGCGCACTGCTGTAACTTGTTAAATGGAGAAACAAACACACCTCTGAGCATATAGTTTAATAGTATGTGTTGATGCATTGTTATATAGCATGACACTTCCTATATGTATGACACAATAGACCCTTTGCAGAACCTTATCAAGCAACACAACTGTCACCATTTTTTTCGGCGTAAAGCACACGAATGGGCCCCAGTTCACGTCGAACGCTAATGCAGCATTCGAGTCCAATACGTGCTGAGCCGAATTCACAGGGATGGCGGACATAACATTCTTGTCGAACAAATGCCCAAAGTCTGAAAGCTTGGTGTAATTACAATAGTAGCTACTGTAATTTGTTTCATCAGAATTTGGCAGACGGCAAAGGCTACCGTCTCGGTGAGTCAATACACACATTGGAGAGAGGCACATGACAGCATATCACCAGAGTGCTTGTCTGCACAGATTTGTCACACACCTTCGCTCCGTCTCTCTGATTGGCTCGAGGGGGCTGTGGCGGTTGGCCTTTTCCAAGTAACGGTGATGCGAAGTATAGACAGCCCACACTTTTAAAAAGAGTCTATTGAAGAGACCGAAAGGAATGGTAGTCAACATTTTTCAACAAGACTGCTCTCCAGGCAAGGGATGAACACAAATATGAATCATCTTACCCAGGTAATTAGAACAATTAAATAATTGACCGACTAATACAATGCACTCTTGATGGAAAAGAGTATAGCTGCAATAAATCCTACAAAACAGAAAAAATGCGCAGTTAATCTATGCATGCACCAAAACAGTTGTTCTTATAGCAAGTCGAATAGCTTTGAAGCAGGTGCCTGCAACGATTTATTCTTCCCCATACTCAGTAAAACGCCATCCTCGTAGCTGAAAATAAGGGTGCACTTCGCACTCACACACACACAAAAAAAGAGGAAGAAAAGCGATCGAATGTAGAATCGTGGATTAGCACAAAAGAATCTCAGGAGCTTCCTCGCTAAAAGTTGCTATGGTTGTTCGGTGACGGAGGGCTGAACCAACTTCCCTTAGGCCCTAACGCGACGTATACATTTCGCGTAGATTCTCAGATATTTCAACGTTCAAACAAAGCTAAGAGAATGCGAAAATTTCATGTTAAAAGCACTCAAAGTTCTATCGGTCCTCGGACACATCCCGGAATCCGAGCACCGGTACGGCGATGCTGTCTCACAGGCGTTAATATCCAGATGATCCAGAGCGATCTTGAGCAAAAACGGTATAAAGTCTCATTCCTTCATATTTTCACATTATACCTGCGTCAGCGAGCACGAAGAAGCCCGAAGTCGTCGGAAAGCAGCTGCACATCACGGCTACCGCGCACCGAA